ATGTATGTATGTATGTATGTATGTATGTATGTATGTATGTATGTATGTATGTATGTATGTATGTATGTATGTATGTATGTATGTATGTATGTATGTATGTATGTATGTATGTATGTATGTATGTATGTATGTATGTATGTATGTATGTATGTATGTATAATAGGCTTAGTCCATCCACCATTTCAAGCACATGTATGAACATCATTGTTAAGCGGCCAAAATCCTGCTTTAAAATATAGCAGCATAATATCTAATTCCGGAACATTATACTGTTAACATAAAATATAAATGTGTGTTAATTGACAGAGACGTTTTATATCTCTTTTAAAATCTTTCATAGAATCAAAACTATTCATCAAAAACAAATCATGATATTTATTGTTAAAATAAATATTATTATTATTAGTAGTAGTAGTATTGTTATTATTATTATTATTATAATTATTATTATTATTATTATTATTATTATTATTATTATTATTATTATTATTATTATTATTATTATTATTATTATTATTATCATTATTATTATCATCATTATTATTATAATAATTATTATTATTATTATTATTATTATTATTATCATTATTATTGATATTATTATTATTATTATTTCTAATTATTATTATTATTATTATTTTAAATCATCGTCATCATCATTTTAATCAAACAGTTTGATTATTATTTATTGCGGAGTATTTATATAAAACGAATAACCCAACAAGTTGAGAATTGCAATTGAAATCGATTTTACTAGCTATCTTCTTTTCTATTCAGCGTCCATTGTAAACGTAAGTCCTTAAGTATCTACGAACGGATATTCATATATAATAAGAGGAGATCTTGTGAATTGTTAATTAAGAAAACCATAAGATTTATCTGAATGAAGAACAAATAGCCTTCAGAAATCAACAATTCTTCATGTAACTAATCTATGGCGAATTGGAAATAAAATGGTTTAATTTTTAGTTTCCAAAAATGTATTTAATTATTTGGAATCAAAATATTCTCAAGGTACGTCATAGATTAGCTTAGTGTTACAGTTGAATGTTGATATATTTTCTTGGTACTTCTTCATCATTAGACCAAATACTTAAAGCCGGTGAACATGGGCGTAAGACTTATTGAACCTTCTTCTTTCATTAGTACATTTATACTCATATAGTATGGGAATATTTTCTTATACTTGAACAGCAACGCACTAAAAATTTGATGTTTATTTCCTGAATATTTCAGATATTGGCGAATATAAAAATTCTAAGTTTGATTGAATGTGTTCATAGGAGTGTTGTTAAAGTGCGATAGTTTGTCACTGCTACAGCACCGGCTCAAACGTGACTAGTTGAGTACCGCTCAAGTCGGTGCTAGGGGGAGTGTGAGTTGCGCTTTTTATTATCCCTTATGTAAAGACTAAATCAAATCGAGTCTGCAATTTTAATGTATTTTTGTTGTAATTAGTGCTTCAGAGGGATCACTGTTTAAATATATATCCAGATTTTAGTACCAGTATTCAATCTTTAACACTTGTTGATGAAGATCCTGAAACACTATTGTCAAACGTCAGTCTTACAATACGTAAAATATCACAAGTTATAATGAAAAGATTATTTTCATAAACAAACAAAAAGAAACTTACAAGCAAACAACAAATCGATATTTTTCCTGACATATACAAATGAAACATATGTTACTTAAGCGTAAAACTTAACATTACATGCACTTTTTAAAAAAGCACTCTTTCAATAATTTTATTTGACACAATTAAAAGGCACATTATGCCTCGGAAATGAATAAATATTTACTTTTTTATAAAGTATAAACACGAGATTTACAACGTTACAATTATGTAATTGTAAAATTATATGTCATTAATGCAGCAAAATGTAAACAAAGTAATGAAAGTAGTACACGTATTTCGACATCCATACACAATACTAAATCACTATAAATGTACTAATTGACAAAAAGCAACAGAAGAACAAAGTTCAGGTAATTGGACAATGAGTAACTTATCGAAAACTATGAAAAAATACCAAAAATAAATAGATTTTGGGAAATAAAAATGAAAACATTTGTGGGGCATAATTGACCTTTAAAGTATGTACAATATTGTTATATAGCAATGCATTCAGGGTGCATGCACTTTATATAGATTCTTTAAAAAAAATGAAAATATTACATTCATACACTCCAGGTAATCAAAACGATTTCTATTAAATAAACTTATAAGATAATATTCTTAACCAGCGTTGATCAATTTATAACAGCACAACATTAACTTTATTAACAGGAAAATTCAATTAATGTCAAAACAAACATACAACGAATGTTGATCTATTATTTTTTACAAACAAAAATCGAAAGTAATGCATGTAAATTAATTGAATAAAACTTAAAAAGATATTAAATATATATCGATTTGCTCGATCAATTTATAGGTGAAATATCCCGCACTTATTCTATGGTTGAAAACATTTTGTATTATATTGTTTGGCAACATTGACCTGAGACATTTGAATATTCAATGACATTTTGTCGTAATTATCGGATTCCAAAGTAAATCATACGGATGGCATAACGGTTAATTGTACATGGTGTATGTATAACTTAATGTTACAGTCACAACACTTGCCGAAGTAATTTAGTTTTTAGTTTACAATTGAATGTTGTAGGTTCGAATCTTTATGAAATGTGAAAAAATATGCATCCACTTATGATGTATATAGTAAAAAGAAATGATTAAAGAAATGTGAAAAATAGTTTGTTTAAGATTTAAACCTGCAAATTTTGGATTTCTATGCTATAATACTTACCACTTTGCCTTAAATTTAGTATCGAAAACTTTCCTATCATTAACACTCAGTTAGTAAATCGTTATAAATTACGGAAACTAACGAAAGGGCTTACAAAATTAATGAGTCTCAGGTCAATATTGCAAAAACTAATAAATATATAAAACGAATTAATATTTCAATTAAACGTCACAATATTCGTTCACAATAACTTACATTTACAACAAAATTCGGCTCACCTATGACCTCCTCGTCCTCATTATCGCATGTTATGTGTACCCAACATTTATACCTTTCTTAATGACAATAATAGTAATAACTGCAGATGTTTCACAGGATAATGTTTCTTATAATTTATTGTCAACCCATAAATTGCTTTTAAAAAATCCGATTAGTTTGCCTGTTACACGTAGGAACACATGTTAGTGACGCCCATTGTTTGTAAATTAATCTACCGGTTTTCTTGTAAGTCATTTACCAATGCTATAAGTTTTAAATGGAGGGAAAAGTCATGTGTGAAAATTGACGGAGACGGATAAAATAATTTAAAATGCGCTTGAAATTATTGGAATAGAATAGTTTTAACAGTAAAGAACTATAAAAACTATAGGTAAGAAAATCAAATTTTTAATCATCATTTTCTTGCTATTTTATTATTTCTTCAAAAGCAAATAATGTAATATTACTAAGTGTTTAAGCTTATTTTTTGTCCTATAGGATTGCAGTATTTCATAGAATCGTAACACATTCACTTTAATAAATCGGAAAACTGTTAATCAGTCTAGGAAATCGACTGTTTGTAAATAAAAATTAAAACACTAAGCCGATTAAAATTTATTAGTACTAATTTACAAAATTAAATTGCTCGCGACGCTGCGCCGCGCCTGGCCAATTTAATTTTGTAACTACGTACTTATAAACTTTAACCTATACTTAAAGGCCCAAAATGCCTTAGAATATTTTTTGTTCTTTATCAAGAGCTTTTTATTTTTGGTATTCTTTTATAGTTTCCCAAAGGTTATTCATTACCTGGACCATTTTTTTGTAGTTACTGGTTTAGATAGTTTGTACAATTATAATGATATAGATTATTGTATGAAGGTCAAAATACTTCATTGTTTACATTTTGCTTTTTTATGGCACATTTTTTTTGCATTTATCATTTCTTTCCTCGGGTTACAAGCATCTAACTTGCTCTTAAATCAATTAGATGTTATAAAGTTCATGCTTGCCTTTAATAATTTATGCTTATTGTATTGCTTATTTTGTTTATGGGAATCAAATGCAAACAAGTATGTGTTTCTTACTTTTGTGAGCCCTCTCTCTCTTGTTTGCGGGGTTTTTTTTGTTTTGTTTTTTTTGTTGCTTTTTTGTGCGGCGCGCTACTGACCACATTTCTTGTGGTCCTGTGTCGAGGGCTGTGTTCTGTGAACGTGGCAATATCTGGGCGGTGTTTATTCGGCCTTTTAGAAAAGAAATGATTATATATAGAGACCAATTTAAGAATCCATTGCTTGACGTTATCTGATGATCATGTACAGTGTACATTATTTCCATCATGATTTACACGCACAACACTTTACTATAATATTGAAAATTTCTTTTGATAAATAATTACATTGAATATTTTATATTTTTGTCTGATTTCATTTATCTATAGAATAGACTAAAATCGGACTATTTCATTTAAAAGAACACCAATAACGGAGATATTGAAATTATTGCATACCTGTTCATGGTTGGTAAAGGTAAATTAAAGCAACAGTCCACGCCCACTAGCATCTAATTTGAAAATTTATTTGCATTTCGTATCAAAACGTCCTATTTAATTAATGAATAAGCTACACTGAAATGAAAAATGTTCATTTATTGCATTCACTTTTATTAAATGTGTTCAAGGTGAACAAATGTACAGTTGGTAAAGTCAAAGTAACGGCTTTGTTTAGGAAGAAAATAAAACAGCAATTGTCTTGTATCAGGAATACTGTAAAGCGCTTAAAATATGCGATATCAACTTTCAGCGGTTTTTGTCGTTCACAAAGCCAATCTTATCTATTCTATTTTATTTGAATGAAATATCTTCTGAGGAATACGCGATTCAACACTTCAAACGTTCAATGAGGTTGATTCAAATGTCTTGTCCAAAAAAATGACCTACTGCTAAATCACACATGTGTTTTGAAACAGCGTCGACAGGTATATGTAAATTGTATATTTTTATGTTCACACTTATGAATTTTGTCATTTTTACACACATTTCTATCTTTGAATATAGTTAATTTTCATATGTTAAATAATTTACAGACAATCAAGAACTTCTTTGACAATATGGCTGAGATTGGTTTCACGAACTACTTTACCATGCGTAAGACTGGTGTAATAATTGCAGGACTGCTTTGTTTGGCTATTCCATCTGTTTATATCGCATCTGAGAGACAGAGACTTGTATATTATGATCCAGGTAAGAGATCAGTTATTTAAGGTAATCTACACATGCAATATATTCCTAAATATTATAGGCAGGGACCTAGAATAATAAATTTTGCTGAAGAAAACGGAGAACAAACGATTACTTCATAATATCGCATAATACTTGTTTTAAAAAAAAAGACAAAAGTATCTAAACCATGATCAAAATATAGTATATACTATATATATAACAATTTTTTTGTCATGCATTGTGTGTACGTATAAAGTGTTTGTATATGTAAATATGGTGTATCATGCATATGACGAAATAAACTTTATGTTCTGTTCTGACGAAAGAGATTTTGCCGAATAAGAAGATATCGCATGAGTAATTCAGATGCAGATTGTTCGGTGATGGTGAGGGAAATTTTTTCCTTGAAAAATGACCCCGGGTTTTAGTCGAACCATCATTTTATCTCTCTCCTCTTATTCATAAATCTTATGGGATTAAGCAATCGGTCACATGCAGAAACAAATGCTACTATTTGAATATTAATCTAGCAAAGGCCGTATAGTTAGGCCTACAGCAGAGATATAATGACAAAAGTAATTGAATTAAAGTTGGCGTAAAAAGCAAACAAATAAACGATTAAATATTCATTGCCAAATAATAAAATGTTATCTTGAATTGACAAAATGTCATGCAAGTAACAACATCTCAATTTATAATGAAAATATGTATATACTTGCAATCCTTGCAGATATTACTATTTTGGGTGACAAGACGTATGGGCGACCAATGCAAAGGACACAACTTATGAGCAACTCTCAAAAACGAAAAGATAAAACTGGCCAAGAGGAAAGAACTATATCCGATTTTACAGAATACATATCTTCAGCAAAATCATCTGTTTTAACAAAAGAGTCGCTGCCAGAATTGTCGAAATCAACTTCTGTTATTTCTACAACAGAATATGAGTCCAGTAGCTCACTCTCTTTGGCAAGTGTCAGCTCTGTAGTAGACTCTAAACGGTCTAATATAGAAAATGGCACCACGAGTGAGAAAGCCGAGTCCAGACAATTACAAATAACGAAAAAGAGAGAAAATGAAATATTGTACAACAGAAATTATTTAAATGTTTCACAAGATTTCATTCCTGTTGTCATAGATTCAAATAAAACTATTGTTTCGATACGTACGGATTTTGAAAACATAGCTTCGATAAATATGAAGGACGAAAACTTTGCCACTTCGGAGGAAGTACATAAGGCTCGTATCAAAAGAATACAAGATATGTGTAAGAAGAAAGACTTCCCCCCGAGGGGGAAAAAGAATTTGGAAAAACAAAGGGGTTTTTTAAAAAAAATTTTTAAATTGGAAATTGGTTTTTACAAAAATTTAAAAATTCTTGTATTGTGAAATTCCATTTTTTGACAAAAAATTTGGGGAAATTTGGAAAATTTTTAAATCTTAAAAATTTTAAAAAATAAAATCTTTTCCAATACCTTAAAATTTCGAAAAAAAGGGGGGAAATACCCCCGAAGGGAAACGGGGGGTAAAAGCTTTTAAATTTCGTCAATTTAAACCAATTTTTCCCCCTTTTTTTTACATAAAATAAATTCGTTATTTTTTTAAAAAAAACAATTAAACCTGTACAAAAATTTTTTAAAGGGAAAAAAACCTTCCCCCAAAAATTTAAAAATTTTAAACCCTAGCCCTTCCGTGTTTTACAAACTTTCTAAACCAGGTTTCCCAAAAACGGGAAAACCCGAAACAATACAAGGTTTACAAGAACTTTACAGACAAGATTTTGAGTTATTCGGATATAGCAATTTACCACCAACAGAACAAATGGAAATATGACAATAAAATGATATGATAATTAAAGATAACGTAATAACAAGACTTGTTGACTTTCATTCCTTTCCAATAAAAGTAAATGAAATTATAACTCTGACATATCATTTTGAAAGTAAAAATACTAGAAAATAGATTTATCATTGCGTTTTTACGGTACATATCCATATCTGTACGTTTTTGCAAAATCTACTAAAACGGTACTCTTTATGCCCATGTACAGGTCATTCTCTGCAAAATCAATTAAGAAAAAATATACAACCAAGTAAATGTTCACTCTACTTATAAAAGGTGATATGTCGAGTGAAAAAGAAGTATACAATAAACAATATGACTTTCAATGAAAATGTGTCATTTTTTCAATTACTACAACCCTGCACAATCAACAGTAACTGATGTTTCACTTCAACCATCGCCTCGGCATGTTATCTGGGCTAAATTAGCCAATGAATTAGCTGTCAATTGTTTTGAGCAAAGCTGAGCAAAGAGGTTACCGTTTTATTAGATTTTGAAAAGAGGGTATCGATGTGGATGTGCACCGTATATTTCTTATCAAAACAATTTTTCACTTTGATTTTACCATAAAATACGGAAGGAGAAAAAATGATATAACATGTATACAGAACGACCCCCACTGAGCGACCTTCTGTTGATAACTTCCATTCAACAATAGTATCAATTCTTTCCAAAGTAAGTCTTCACAACATATATTTATGGAGCAGCTAAAAAAGAGAAAATAAGATTCCCTAAATGAATAATTTGAATTTAGAAACATCCGCAGATGTCTTCATTCGGCGGTTATCATAGAACCTTCTATGTGACACGTAAGTGTCAATCCTATCAGCAATAGTGCAGCAAAACGATGTTGCTCTGCGTAGATAGTGCTGCACTTTCAATACTAAGGTAACGGGCTTTATTTCAAACATTGTTTTCAGATGTCAAGAAAAACAGAGTTGATATCTTGATTATTTTTGCTTCCTTGGCTTTCAGAATTCTTATATCATACGGTATTATATCAATGTACAATGATCCATTATGCTTATTTAACAGTGTCCAATCTGTCAAATAAAGTTCTTTAATATTTTCCTTTATTATCTTACACATGTTTTGCTGTCAGTAATCCCAGATTAACTCTAATAGCTCATTTAATAGTATCAATATAATCCGATTTCCATTAGAACACACGTTTTTGGGATTGGCTTCATTGATTCTTGGAATAGCATGTTTTATTAGTAAATGTCACTCACTAGTCCTAGTTTTATACAAGTGCCTACGTTGGGACACATAACACATGCAACAATGTATGCTTAATACATCATTTAAAAATGAAAATTGTTTTATTTAAAGCTGGCATTATCGGTTCTTTTAACACTTGAATGCAACGGCCGAATACTTGTGCTATTGGCAAGGTGATGCAAGACTGCATTGATTTTGAAAAGTCATATTTGGGGTAAAATTATATCTTCCAAAAATTATTTCACTAAAAAACAAATATTTCACCAGGGGTTTAGATTTCCTTATCCGAAATGTTAATATACCGATAAGATATGACTATACATTTTCAAATCAACCGCGTTACTACGTACATTTTGTATTGCGGATAATTGTTGTTTTGTCCTTACCGTGGTTTATAAAATTTGGTTTGGGTAATTTTTTTGCTCGACTGGGGGTCGGAGTCACTAAAAATTCAGTTTTTTTTCAAAGTATTTCACAGAATCCCTTTTCCCCTTTTTAAAATTTTCAAATTCACCCTTTTTCGAAAAATTGATGACTTTTTTAGAAAGCATCATGAATAGGGTTTTTAAAAAGCATTTTTTTGTTGATTTTCGTCAGTTTTTAATGTCAGGCCCTTTTTTACAGACAGACGTTGATTTTAAAACCCGGGGGTTGATGAAGGGGGACTTTTTGACCGGAAGATTGCCCCCTCCCGCCCCTGCGGGTTCGTTGTATTTTTATATAACATGTAATTCTTCCAGACGGGTTGCGAAGCCCGCTCGCGGTTAACCTGGTTTGTCTGCATATTATCCGAATGACTGTTGAATATAATGGAGCACTTACAAGTATTTGTGTATATATCATAAATTATTTATACATGTTTATATTTGTACCATGCATATAATTTGCTTATGACAGCCTTCTTCATGCTGTTTCTCTCAATAATCAATTCCCGAAATGCACAACTGTGTTGTTATTTTATATTTAGGTAGAGATGCGACCTATACATAACAATTTGTTATCAAAGTTTTTCTCAGGTTAAATCTTTCTAAATGTATCAGATTAGGTCATAAAGTAAGTCGCCACCAAACTAATACCGTCGTAATATCGTCATTGCAAAATTACCTAATCAAATACACAGAATGAAATTATAGCGTACCATCGGGTAAAACAGTTGAGTTCATCTTTAAATAATATACAGGTTAAGTAACTAAAGGCATATATGATAATAAATGAACCTGATACTTTTAAATCAATATATCATATTTTATAAATCAAAAATCGACATTTCAAATTACAAGTCAGGATTTGCCAGAGCCCCTAATGGTCAGTTTGTGATAATGCATTTACAATTTGGTTGTTTGTATATGACCAAGATTTCAGTCCCCATAAATCATGATGATCATTAACAGTTGTGATTTTAATTGGTTTTTTACCTCGCACAAGCAAAGTATAGGTCATGTGGTGACTTTCCAGCTGCACTGGTAGAAGAAGACCTCAGGTGTCAACCCGTGAAATATTTCAGACACAAACGGATACCCGAGTAGAGAACCACCGACTTTCCGTACGCTAGAGTTCTGATATGTATAAAACATTAAAAGAAGTACATGTATTTCAAAATACTAAACCATGTAACGGAAATTTAAAATGATTTTTTAAAACAGCAGTAGAATACTTAGAAATCAGAAATTCGAAATAAAAACTTACAATTGCATTTAATACATATGCATAACATTTGGTAACAACAAAACTTTATTTCTATCAATCACTGAATCGTGTAAATTGTGTTTACAATAAAAAAAGAAATTTCTTCATCAAGCTTGTAAATGTCATCAATGACCTTTAAAATTTCGAAGCTTATTAAAACCAAACAAACATACTTTTTACCTATACCAAATTGCAACTAGTTGCTCTAATTCTTGTCTTAACCATGGAACGTGATTATATATATCATTCTTTGTTGACCTATATATAATTATTATGTTTCGTGACATATATCATACGTTTATGATATCAATGATAAGCTTATTAACAACATATTAACTGTTTTGCAACACAACACGTGTTAACGGGATTATTACAATAAATATGATGTATACATTTTATACATTTCTTCATATTTTTTATACCGCTTTGATTTTTGCATCTTACCGTCTTGTTCTCTTCATCATTACATTTTCAGATCATGACGTTACATTTTGAAAAATATTTTTAGTTGTTCGATTATGTAAATTCAGGTTGTATTAGGATACATCTCTATGTGTAACTTTGTTATCAGATATTTTTCCTTGCTATTTATTACATGATTTTGTCAAGTGCCTTTCCGTACATTTTTTTAGGTATAAATCTTTTGCACGATTTCATTCCTGTATTCTCCGTAAAATTTCTGGGTTAATACACTTTTCAACAAGTTCTCCAAGATGGTCAAATCAGCAATCCAGCCAGATCCACACTTATCATTGCATTGGCATGGTGTTCAGCGAGGAAAGAATCATTCAAAATATTTTTTGCAAATCACTTGTGTAGCATGTCAGAAAATGGACAAAATTTGTTAACTTTGTTCATAAATATTATAAAAAACTTCTTTGATATCCATGCTACGAGTTTATTCACATTCTTACAAAACCTAAATCGAGCCTTTCTCATACATTAATATGTTTTTGGAACAGCTGCAGTATAAAACGTGCTTAATCAATTTAACATGATCTACTAGTTGTGTTGAAGTTGGCAATGTGAATGTCATTGTAATCCAAACATTCAGAACTCGACAACTTATTACCTGTTTATCAATTGAAACAAGCAATGACAATTAAATTAATCGTGATACACGACTTTATAGCAATATCACACTAATTAATTTCATTGTGCTAGAGAAAGAAAATTTTGAAATCAGAACGAAATTGAACCCTTTAATTTTTAATATCACAATTCAAATTAATTTGATTTTATCTGTCAATACCATTTATGTTGTATTTCAACAAAAAAATGATTCATTTGATAATTTAATTATGGTTGTTTGAATATTGCTTTTTTGTCGGTAATTTCATTATTGTGTTACAGTGGTCAGTGGAGAACTATTTCGTGTGTATTTTATACATACAAGGCTATTGTATATTATTAAAAACATTAGCTATGGCTTAATATGTAATTTTATTTCAAATGTGGTCAACTACCAAGTTTAATGATTTAAACATCATAACGTTTGGATAACAAAAATTTGTTGAGAAATAAATACAAATTTAAAGCTAATCAAATCAGTTAGTATTTCCTTGGCCAAAATGGCATATACCATTATAACAAAACGGCAAATATTTCAAGCAAAAAATACACAGTGCTTAACTGCAAAAGCTAAGTCAGTATTTGAACACACTTTCCCTTTTTCATGAAAAAAAAATTACTTTGGGCCCTGGGACATTGTTTTTAAAGAAATAAATTCACGTTTTTCCCCCCAAAAAAAACGTTTTTAGGGCAATAAATCTTTAAAAAATTTTTTAAAAATACCATTCCCATTCGCCCTTTGGGTCTGTAGTGTAAAAACCATGGGTTGTAGTTCCCCGTTTTTGGCCAGAAATAAAATTGCCCCCGTTACTACCCCTTTGTGTAGGGAACATGGTGTGAATTCTTGGGGTTTCTAGTTTTTCCAAAAAGAGTCAGGGTATGCTCCAAAATCATTTAATTTTTATCATTTCCCACAATACTTTTTTTGAAAAATATTTTAAAACATTAATTTTTCCCTCAAAGAAAAACACCTCGCTTATCTTTTTTGGCCAAAAAAGGAAAAACTTAATTTGGGGCTTTTTAAATTTTAGAAAGCAAAAAAACAAAAAAACGAGAAACCCAAAACTTTCAATTTATGGTCTAATTTTGCATGGCGATCGAAACTTAAAAATATACCTTATAATTTTAAAAAAAACAAAAAATTTAAAAACTGAAAAAAATAATAAGGATTCCCCGAGCTTTCTTTTAAAATCGCCTTGTAAACCCTGCAAATGAAAAGGCCCATTATTTTTTTCCCCTTTATACCTTTTTTTCTTACATTTACATTGAACAAACCTAAATTTTATAAAATTTCTTTTTAAAACCCCGTTTTAACGAAAACCCAAAAAAAAATGTTTAAAAAGCACACCGGGAAAATTTTTATTAAACTGCTTTAACAAAATTTTTTGTTTTAATGACAATTTGCAAAAAAATTTTTTCCATAAAAAAAATACTTCAAAGGGTGCTAACGGTTATTTTTTAAAATAACAAAAAGGGAGGAAAATGTAGACGTTTTTCGATGCGAGCCATTGTTTTGATAAAGATCCCCATATTTATCGTATTAATTTTATAACCATTTTATAACGATTTGAGAAAAGGCGAGGCCAATCAAGGAAGTAATAGCTCTTGATTCCTTCATGTTTCTATTTGATGATGACATATAACTAGGATCATAATCCTCAATGCATACAGTAAATGTTGTCAGGTTCCAAAATGGATGATCCGGATTGCCGTCCAGATCCGGAGAATTTTTAATGAACTGGTTTGACCCCAGCGTAATATTGTTTGATAAAATTCTTATTTCTGCGCCTTCTACACGGACATCGAACATAGGAATTCGCACCTGAAAAACAAAAACACCAATTATTTGTCTTGTAAATTGACATATTGAACAACTTTGAAAATGTTGTATACATGCAAGTGTTTATTGAACTATTGAAGTTTTTGAATTATTTAAATGTGCGAGATAGCATAATACGTTGCAATGCATTTCAGCTTTTTATTTTCAAATTTGTTACCTCTCAGGATTTGACGATATCCAGATATATCGATATAAATTTGGCGGTCTCTTGAATATCGTTATAAACGGTGTTCACGTATCAAAACTAAATATTTTTTCGAATAACTTCTTAAAGCTGTCTTAGTAGTTTACAAAGAAGATAGGGTTTAATACATATTCAAACACTTCTTTTTCTTCTCTATGCACAATTCCTGGTCATTTATTATAAAACTCGTCTGCAGTCCTTTAAAGGAAACAGACATTTGGATAAAATATGAAAACATCCTATAAATATTAACAAAGCTAAGCCTGGTGAATCAACAGGAAATGTTTGTTGCAAATAGCTACAATATTGGAGAAATAACATTAAAAAATAATAACTTTACTTATATTAACAATTTCATCAATGATTAATCGCGGTTAAGTAATTTGAAAAAAATATTTTAACCCCGACAGGAGAAAACGACCAATAACGTCATTTAACATGTAACGTTAAAAGACATTGAAGATGTCTTTGAATTTAAAGTTAAAAAAGTAAATTACTTCTGAAATGTTAAAGATAAATATGAATATGTAACAATAAGCAAATCGCAGAAGATTTTACTAGTTTCAAGAGCAAAATCAATGGATATTTAAAAAATCAAATATGTCAATTAATAAAAGTAGTATACATGACGTTATGGCTTGTTTTCTTAAGCCAGTGGTCAATTTTACAAACGAGAAAGTGATACTTACGTTGTTACAAAAGAAAGGTTTACTCAATTTGAACATGTGCTTATTCAAGGTTCCTGGAAACTGTGATTCATATTTTGAAGATTCGTATCCAGTTAATTTATCAAATGAAGCAGTTAACTCGTATGTTTTGTTTTCAATATTTAGTTTCCAACGATCAGTTATGCACGTTTTAATAACTGGAACAATTCGAGATGGATCCAACCCTTCAAGTCCAAATTTTGCAGACATGTCTAATACAGCAGAAGATACGAAAGTGTTTTTACTTCTATTTGCAGCATCATTTTCATTACTCAGTTCTAAGATATCTATGATATACATTTGCACCTTAAAACCACCCTTATTACAAGGAATGTCCAACAGATCTGAATGTTTCCTGAGAGGTAAATATGGTATCAATTTGGTAACTGGTATATTTCCTTCTACAGGTGTAAGCTTCAACTGTAAGCGAATATTCTCCAAAAACCATTTAAGTGCAAAATATTTGCATCCAGTTTGAGTTCTGGTCATTCCTTCAGGACAGTTTACTTTCAAACGAACCATCTGTAAAATTGACAGTATATATCTATTCAACCTTTTCTAAAGATATAGCAAAATGAATTGCATGATAACGTATACAGTGTATTCCTTACTATCTGGCATAATAAGTGTTTATGATCATAAATATTTATGTAAGTCTGTCAATTTTACATTTGTCGAGCAATACACGACATAATTATTATATTAAAAATATACAATGTTCAAAATTGATATTTGAAAATATTGATAACTGCTACTGTCCTAAGATGATAATTTGGTCTAAATGGTACATGGGAAAGTCGAAAAACGGGGTTATCTGGATTATTATCCGATATCGTAAAGTAAACACTTACATATACTATATAGCATTATTCTTACAGAATCGTTTGTGTATTACCATTATGGCTCTGTCGGTAGGTCGGAGTAATTGTACCTATTAGTGTTTTGTACTCATAGGTTCGAACCCATTTTAGTGTCATTTTATAACCACAGTTTTTTCTTCTTACTCTGTTTTTTATCATTATTCTTTATTTATTTTTCGTTTTCCTTTTTGTTTTCTTCTTAAAATATAATTTTATAGTATATATTTATTTTTTTTAAAATTCCATTCTATTTTCTTTTTGTATTTTTTGATTGCAGTGTAATAAAATATTCGATATCATATTCATGTATGTATATGAAAAAAACGGTCAAACTTGTTTTCTGAACAATTGGCTGTTCTGAGGTAAAAAAGAAGTGTCTTACCAGTAGTCGAACTTTGCCTGCACGGGCAAAAGCGCATTACCGACACGGTTGCTCTACCTACTGCGCTTACAAGTCATATGATTATGTAGTTTTATTTTAATTGTTATAGGTTGTAGCATTGATCTGCCTCACCTATTTTTCGCATTGTTATTGGTCTTTGTTATGTAAACAAAGGCTCAAGTTATCATCCTAGGACAGTACACGGTCTTTTTGTAAATATAGAATATACATGTTTGGACTTCACACAAAGTATATATTTTTATGCTTTAAATCCTACGCACTATAACTAGATATGAATATATGGTGTCATTAAAAACCTGACATGTTTGTTTCTATTTCAGCTTATAATTTATTTAGCTTCACTCACCTTTACGATTTAAATTAAAAAGTCAGATATTATTTTTTCAAAAGTTTTTAGACAAACATTTCATTAGTAAATGATTTGGTCGCTTTTTCAGGATAGTAATTATTCAGTTTTTAAAAGATGTTATAAGACCTACAAATCAATCTGTAAAAATCCACAAATAAATAAATAACCCATTAAAATTTTATAAAATATCCCTGTACAATCCTTATGTTCTATATTGATACAAACTAAGAAAATTATTCGTTCAGTTTCTTATATACCGTCTATGATAACATAATTTATATTTTCCATTTATATTCTATTTAACATAGCCTTATTACAAATTAATGTCAACATCCCCATGAAACTGTCTTTAACAACTTTCCATGACAGTAAATGCACCATGCTTTTGCTAATTGGTGATTAGAAATGTTGAATCAGAGTTAAATACCGATCATACTTCAATATATGAGATAACATGCTAATAGTTTCTTGAATATTTAACATACCTTATACATACAGGATGCGATCGTTACATTCTTGCATTTCTTTTTATTATAATCATTATTTCATTCTTTAAAATGTTCTTTTTAAATGGGTTTTTCATAGGTTTTTGACGGTGTTAGATTTGACTTTGTTAATTGAAGTTTGAAATGATGCACTGAAGAAAGTAATTATGTTAAATGATAAAATGAATGGTATGAATGTTCAGTATGTTAAGGTTTATGTTAACACTGTGAACATTACAATCTAATTATTTCTTTAACATGTTATATTTTCTTTCATTGGGGTAATTTTATTTAGAATGCTGCGTTATAAATAAGGTGCTACAAATATGTATATGTCTTAATGTTGTTTGTTTATTATTATTATTATTATTATGATGATTATTATTTCATATGTATTATAAAAATTAACAAATAAATTTGAATTGATATTACGTACGTTTGATGTTAGTACGTTTGGCCATGGCGTAGCAGCTCCTGTCTTCCTTTCCTGTGAACTAGAATCATAAATCACCGTCGAATCCAGCAGTACCATCATCTCCCCTATTGCACCTTTGATTACTTCTTTTGGGCAATGAATGCGACCTGCATAGGAACTAAGAGAGGGCACATCGCAAAGCCAACAGAAAACATTCTTGAACGGTGGCTCAAAGACAAAGTAAAATGGCGCGTTGAGATTAAGACACAGCTGAAGCCAGTCTTGGCGAAAACATTCTGACCTATAGTTATAGTTATCAAAACAACGCTTATGTGACCAGTTTTCGTCCTCTGGCGGAACATAGATTCGTCCCCATAATATGTTCTGACTCTCGTAAATGTTCACCTTCTTGACGATGTAATTCCATCGTCTTATTTGTGTCGTACGTACTCCGTTGCAAATTGCACATTTCGTGTTAATATATATTAAATTAGTGTCTATTGAAGAGACGGGCTCAATAAAAGGTTTGCCATTCCTGTCAGTTTTCTCACAGTAATCAACTTCATTTACATTATGATGTACATCTATTGTGTCTATATTACACGCTTGAATCATATAAAAACCTTTATGCACGATTTCATTATTGGGTCCTCCGTCATATTTTATTTCCGTATCAATACACGCGGCTTTTTTCTGTTCAACAAGTTTGTATTTATCAAGATGGTTAAAGCAGCAATCTAGGCGGGATCCACACTTATCATCGCAGTGACATGGTGTGCAGCAAGGAAAGGAATAATTCGAAATGAATTTTTGCGAAGCTTTGGTGTAGCATATGTCCGATGACGGACAAAGCTCGTTTACTATTTCCGGAATTGAAATATTTCCACTGAAGAAGCGGTAAAACATTGGAAAAATAGTTTTAGTGTTAATAATAGAAGGATTATTTTGATATCCATGTCTTCACTAAAAATCCTACAATCACTGAGACGAACTTTACTTGTACACAGAGATATTCAAGAACTGTTTTGAAACTGCGTATACGCTACTTTATAAATCTTGCTCATCAAATTATCAATTAGTCAAATAATTATGTTGTTAAAGGTAATGTAATTATCAGAGTAATCTAAATATAATATACGATTCAATGTATCTAAATCTATCAATTGAAACAACCAATGACAATAAAACGCCTCAAGATAAACTACACCTCGGAATTATTATACGTAATTGATTTCATTGTACTAAGATAAAGAGAAATTTTGAAAAGGGAAGAGAACAATGAGGGACCTATTGCAAACACGTATAATACAATTAATGTTAATTTGAATCTTCTTCTGTGACGCCAATCAATTTACGTAGCATACAGATTAAAATAATTATTTCAAATTAATTGTTGTACATTAAAGCTATTGTACGAATATATCATTTCATTCGGGCAAATAATGGTAATGGTAAATATCACCTAATTGTTTCCATTATACTTTGTGAAAATAAGAAAAGGTTTCAAAGAAGAACAAAAAGAAAACAAGCTGAATAACAATTTATTTACAATTTGCCTTTGAATATTTAGTAATTTAATCAAATCAATCAATGGAACATAATCATTAAAAAATCTATTATGATATGTATACTGGATATTTATTCAGCCCTTATCAGTCAATTATGCCACAGAAATGCGTTGTTTTTTATTTTTTGAACTTAGCTCGTAATGCTTGTTGTCCAGCTCTAGTTGCAAAAACGTTACCAAGTGGCCAATATCTTGAACTATTTTTTGGGTCTGTTGATTGTTGGCAAATAGTATACTTAGAGCAATTGTTTTGCTATGGTTGTAAAATACCACTTTATTTACATTGTCCTACTTTTGAACAAATGTACACTGCTTATTTCTCGCTTCAAGTTTTTAACCTGCTCTAATCCCTTTCTTTAGACGTTTTAGAAACCATGTTTGTCCTTCTTATGAAGGAAAGAATATATGTTTCTGGGGCATAATGCCTTCAAGTAAAGGCTATAATGTTTTTTCAAATAGTCATACTAACTTTAAGAACTATGCAAAACAGCTGTAATTGTGTTATTTAAAGCGTGTGTCACCGCTTCTAGGGAATGTATTGCAATAACCCCTGCCGAAAACAAGCACAATTTAACCAAGACTTAACATTCTCAATTTATTATTATATCGGTGGGTGTATCTATATCTGTGTACTCGTCTTGATATTTTACCATTGTGGTGCCTTTGATTATAACAATTTTACCTCACAAAAAGAAACAAACCATTGCATCGAGAAATTTGAAAATATGGTCGAAACTTATCAAATGGGTATTTATTTCATGTCAAAAAAAAAGAATAAATAGAGAACATGTTTTTATATAAATACGAGATTTATTTTCCAGTGGTATGAAATATGATAATTTACATACAAAAGATGAAAATAAATTCAGTATGAACTTGAATTGGTTGTTTGTCATTTACTTTTTACCTTAAGATCAGAAAGAAAGTGGTACCGCAAGATAGCAGTGAAATTACAAAAATAAAATTTATTGTAATGAAAAAAAATTAAGTGAAAATAAGTAAAATTAAGATACTCATTCTTCAGCAATTTTTTCTATTTTTTTTCATAGATAAGTTTACATTCTACAATAAACAATTTCAGTATTAATGCAAGGATAAGGTAGCGCAACAAAGTAATTGAAGCCACAACCTCGAATGTCCAGGGAGGATTTCTTGGATGTAGTGAACTTTTTTGGACTAACATGACTGGTTGTCTTTAAAGTGCATGAAATTTGTTATTGTTATATCTAAATTGATCACTGTCAAATTCGAAAAACAAAGCCAGAGATCACATGCTGTTGATAATTAATGTCAAGAACGCCATTTGTTGTAAACATTGCCTTTAAACATCATGGCCGATAAACAAGTCATTTTACGGGCTGAGGTACAAACTCTAAGCAGTAGCAAACAATCTACAAGGCAAAGCACCTGTTTTTTTATATTTTGCATGTAAAGGCAATTGTTAAAGTAGAGACAATGTGTCTGTATTCTGTGCATTTGCAGGTATTTGCCAGGGGGTAGAATTGTGTTGTTTTTGGTCTAGGACCACGGTAGATTTTGGGCTTCAACAGAATGCATTGACAGACAATTGCAAATGGTATACTTTCATTGTAGATTTGCGATGTTATGTCATATATTTCGTCGACAAAACGTGTTTTTTTTCAGGTTATGTAGTTCCGGATTAGAATTATCAGAAGTTTTGCTCACAATGACGACAGGAACTTACAATTTAGTTTGGCGTGCTACCTAAACTAAAAATGCGTTTTTGCTTTCCTTTCTTATGAACTGTTACTCGCTATAAATTGAACCGAATGCCAAAAATATTCTGCGCAGTAAGTCCGCTTATTCCGGTTCGTTTTCATGAAAAAGGAACACGAGGCCGATGTCGTATTATATTCACTTCATCATCATATAATATTTGTTTGGTGGGCAAAAAAATGTTAAATTATATTTGTTAGCTAAACACTGGGCGGGTAAAACATGTAACAATTGTGGTTTTTAACTATACATTTGTAAACTGGTTTTTCTTCAACTACTAATTAACTAATAGGTCACTGAATGAACAAGCAACAAATATTTTTATAGTAAACCCTTAACGCTTTTATCAATATTCAGGTGACAGAATTATGTCGTTATATCCGGACATACGAGAAGCAACTAATTTAAGATCAATAGTCAGGACCGTTATAAGCATCGTTACAAGCGGTATATCGTTATAAGCGGTATATCATTATATGCGGTGTTTATTATATACGATAATAATCTAACATAATGTCCTCTATGAAGACTTTAAGTATAAAAAATCACTATCGAAAACATAACCATTATACATATTATAAATCTGAACAACTATTAATACAGCACCAATCCCATCTCTTCTTTGGATCTGTAGTGTAACACCATGGCTTATAGTCCCAGCTTGGGCTGCGGCAGTAGTTCTTTGCCTTACTTACGTCGTTCTCTGAAAATTCATGGGCATGTTCCCGTATATGTGCTTATGGGGGTACTGCGAGTCCCAATTCTGACACTCGTAACCACCCTGCGTTTTTGATACTGTTCCAGTATACAGCCAGGATTCTTTTGAGTTATAGCAATAATTGTATTTACCTAGCAAATGAAAGCATGTAAAAATGAATATTGAGACTGTTATGAAATATGCAAACAGTGCGTTGTGGTTAATAAATCTAAAATAGTATGCAAAGGTGAAGTTAAAAGAGGCTTTCGAGTTACTTAAAGCAAACAGCTGTGAAAATATCTTTTAAAAATGTTTATCTTTCGATTCTGTTAAGGCGGTCTATATTCAAAACAACCATTTTGCTTATTCGTTCAAAAATACGAATAATGAATAAAATTAGATAAAAGTAGTAAAAGTTACATGAAGTTTTAAATCAACATTGAAGAACAAAATACAACAACTAACATGTATCAATGCTGCAATATTGCCATTTTGTACTTCCAGTGGTGTAGCACCATGGTGTGGCCGACTTTGAAGGGCTTCGGCAGAAGTTGCCAGCTTCATCCAATGAGGCATCTGGGTATTTGTCTGGGTCTATGTAACTGTTCCTATGTGGGTAACATGCATTCCATCTTTGGCAAGGCACATTGTCCTTTGTCACGCTTGTATGTCCTTCATATAGCCATGCATAGCCTCTTCTAAAACAGTTGAGTCCTGAACCTTATTCCAATAAGAATTAAAGAGATATAAGTAGGACTTGACGCATGACCTTGACCTTGAAGGCACAATTATTTCATTTTTGCTGATTGTTAATTGGTTGTAACTTTGTAATTAATCAATTGACTATTTTTATCCTTGGAAAAAGCAACCTTTTGGACAAGAAATTTTAAAAAGTTTTTAAAAGATATACATGATAAAATTTTATTTAAGAAAATATTGATAATTGCTACACAGTCTCTTTGTAAATATAAAATATACACTTTCTGACTGCACAAATTATACACACTTAAGGTCGTTACAATATGGATATATATGTATCAATATATATATATGTATATATCGTGTCATTAAAAATGACAGTTTCTTGACCTGTTGTAGGGAACGCAGCTTCCCATACATAGTTTATTCATTCTTTTGTTCAAATTAGACATATTCAGTAAGAATTTCAAAGATTCAATAAATTTCTGTGATTAAAATATTTTACTGAGAAGAATTTTGTCTTCATTAACACATGAAAGAGATAGTCAGCAGTGAACGAAAGTAAGATACAATATTTGAAATATTTAAAAACCTATTGCGCCCGTTTAGAACAAGAGTTCACAAGAGCGAGCATCGAAAAAGTAATCCAGAACTTGCTGGTGCGATCTTCGGGTGAGATGAAATATCTTCGTGACATCTGTTTTCGGACATGGTCAAGTGGTTATTTGTCTCGCACCGATAATTGATGTTATTCGGAAATCTGCAATTATGTTGTTTTGTTTTTTCAAGCTTATCCTCCGGTACAAACAAATTTATGTTGTTGTATTTTTTGTTTATTAATCATTCATTACTTCGGTTTTAAAACTAATATCTTCATGGAGTCCCGTTTCACTCACCTTTGTTATATAGACCAAAAGCAGTATAACATGTTTACAGACTTGGGTAGCAGTATGATAATTGGGAACACATTGTTTTATGTCATGTACATGTAATTACTTGTAACGATCTCTATACTAAGAATATGTTATAGTACTTTACGAGATAGAATGAATAGCTAAATCTGGAAAAATGGTAGTCCCTCGGAAGCAATTAAAATAAAGTATTATAATAATTGAAAATGCAGACTTGGTTTGATTTAGTTTGTTCATGAGAAATAAACTGATATTACCATCTCACATGCCCCCTAGCACCGGCTTTAGCGGTATTTAATATTTAGCGAACGGGATTTTAAAACTGTATCGTCTCATTTAAAGATATAGTCTAATCAAAAATAAACTTCATTTGAAAACACATAGAGAAATTATCTTTTAAACCCTGCACACTAAAGAAATGCATAGTGTAACTAAAAAGTGCAATTTCTTTTTTCCAAAGGACCGAACTAACTTGATCAGTAATAAGGAATGCAGTTTTCCAAACATAGCTTTGCATTCTCTCATCCAAATTAAACAATTTCAGTAGAATTCCATTGATTTAAATAAATGTATGCAATAATTGCTTTTTGTACATTATTCATTGGGGTATATTCTTACGTACATGTATATTGTTCTAACATACATTACAGTACATTATTCATCGGGTTATATTCTCATGAATTTTATTCTTAGGGTCATATACTCACATAAGTTATTCATAATGTTATATTCTTACAAACATTATTCACAGGGTTATTTGTTCAGATACATTATTCAGGGATAGGGTTATCTTCTTACGTAACTTTTTCATAGGGTTATATTCTTACGTATATTTTTCATCGGGTCATATTCTTACGTGCATTAATCATGGGTTTATACTCAATTTTTTAGGTACATTAATCATAGGGTTATGCTTTAGTTTGCGTACATTACTCATAGGGTAACCGGTTATATTAAATTTGACGTACATTATTCATAGGGTTATTATCTTACGTACAAGACGGCACTTTGCAGAAGTCCCATCGATCGTTTGGGTCGTTCGTGTAGCACCAAGGTCTTCCGGTTTTGCTCGGGTCACGGCAGTAGTTGCTTGCATCCGCTACTGAATATTCAGGGAACTTATCAGCGCGAATCAAACTGCTTTGAGGTTTATGGGGCGTGTTCGAGTCCCAACGTTGACATTCGATCCCATTTACGGTTTCCGATACTCTTCCGTTGTATAGATGAGCTAACCCAACTTGATAGCAAGTGTCTGTGTAATCTATCCGATTTAAAAGAAAAACCTTAACATTATTCATTGAAAATGTACATTAGTTTCACAAAGAACCAAATCAATTGTGCGGCTATATTAACATTTTCATACATTTGAATGGACTCCACTGAGATTTTTTGACATGGCGGGACTTAAAACAAATTTACGAGATTAATTCTGCTTTGAACAAGGGAGTTGAAAAACTTCTGAACTTAAAAAATAACTTAATGTAAATTGTCTACTCTGTGATCAATAAATTAATAATTCTTCTTTGTGATCAATGAAATTATAATTCTAATATCACCTTACCGCTGATAACGCACACACCGTCGCCGATTTTTCTTTTTAGATTGCACCGATATCCCGGGGGACAGGACTGAAAAATCAACACTTAGTTATTAATTAAAAACGGCTCTGAAAGTAATGCTTAAACATTAGGATATGACATTTCTATGGATATGACGTCATACTGTTGAAATAGATATTTGGAGATGCGAAGAAAATTAAAACGTTCTCTCTTTTGTTTCTTTATTTTAACCACTACAGTGTTGGATCAGTACCTACATTATCTCAAATTAGAAACATGTCGCTTTTTTACCGCCTATTGATACATTGTATCATTCATTATCGTATATAAATCGGTGTGAAGAGATGGGTTAGACGTCTCAATGCTCATTTCATTGGGTGAAAAGGCGAGATCTTAACATTTTATCATTCTAACGCCATTTCCGGTATATACCGAAATACGGTATTTAGTGTGGTGCTCCATCTCAGTCTCTAAAAAGAAGTACTTACAGTTGCCTTTGTATCACTGCATGGCATTAAGCATTTGTATTGTTGCTTATATCGCTTCCAAATGCCCTCAAAAGAGAATCCGTTTGAGATTGAAAAGGTTATGAACTGCAAAATGAAATAAACAAATGTAATGACGAGATGCTTAGTTTATACAAATTGATTTTAGCCCGGTTGTGTTGAAACCTTTAAGCTTTTTGAAACACTCTCAAATCCGGTCCTGTAACCAACAAGTTCAATGAGTGTAAAGTTTCTTGCTCAAACATTGAAGATGTGTCAAATATGTACTGCAAATATGTGTAAATATTATATGTAATCATTACAAAATATGTATTCATTTCTTATTGAAAAAAATTGACTTAGACTTTATAGAAAATATTGTTATTACCTCCCTTTTTTTACAGGAAATGTTCAATTCGGTAAAAGCTTTATAAATAATGCCTTTTGGAACTTACCAATTTGATAAATCTTAATTTGAGCATCATATTTATGATATAAAACCGTATAAAAAAATTGTGTTACAGGATCTTTAAGGTAAACTGGTAAAAATGGTCTCAATCAACTTGTCTGCACCATAACTCTTTTACTAGCGGGTCAATTTCAAATAACCTGGCACAAATGTTCAACATAATGAGATGACGTGTTGCTCGCAAGAACCGTGTGGTTAGGTCAAAGGTCAAGGTCATACTTCAAGGTCAATGCCAAAAATGTGTCTCGAACAGCTTGTCCGCGCCTAGCTTTATCACTAGCTGGAGGAATAACAAATAACAAGGCCCTAATGTTCAGCATCATGAGATGGTGTGTTGCGCCAATGAACAGTATGGTTAGGTCAAAGGTCAATGTCTTACATTAAAGTTAAATGCAAAAAAATGGCTGAAGCAGCTGGTCTGTACAATAAATCTATCAAAAACTATAGGAATTTCACATGACCTGGCACAAATGTTCATCATCATGAGACGGCGTGTCGCGTGCATGAACTAACTTGATATACTGAATTTAACTAAGTCAAAGCTCAAGGTCAGACCTCAAGGTCAGATGTGACAGCTTGCCTATGCACAGTAAGCGGGCTCCACATGTTGCCCTTGGTCATCTTGCGCATTTAACTATGCAAAATAATCGAAAATACACGTGACCCCGATGTTTCTATAAATAACATTCGTAATGTATCGGTAATAATCAATTAAAAGAGGGGAGGGAGAGTTGGCCATACCTTTTAGAATTTAAATAGTTTTTATATTTCATCCTCAATATTTTTCGTTATCAATTATTGGCCAATCACCATTATGGTAGCGGACCTCCTGAATCACATAACATGTAATATTACAAATACATTTGACAGCGAAACAAAATTAAATTAATATTGCGACGAGAATCCTGGAAGTTTGAGAGAACCCTTTTTGTTTTAAAATTACGGAAAAAAATGGATATATTTTCTTTAATATCCAGACGAAATTTTTAGAAGACAACAATTTAACAACATAAAAAGAGTTAAATGGATTACCAAACTCAGTGTAATAAATCTCAATCCCATTGTGTTTTCTCCAAATCCTTGTTCACAACTGAAACTGGTGCAGGAGTCTAAATCACTAGATCATGCAAAGCAAAACCATTATGCGGGGTACACTATTATGATTAATATCGTTATTTAAAGCATATCGTGCGCAGATTAAAGTGACATTTTGCATATCCAAGGGTATATAGTGAATGAATAGTTGAAATCAAAATTTAGTCCTTCCAATTTTATCATTTACTCCGCATGAACATTAAAATAACTCACATGGCACAAGGAAATTTATATAAATACGCATCACGTTTAATTGATACAGACATTTTATATTTTAGAAAGAATTATATTTTATCCTAAACGTGTTCTATACCAACTGTTGGTCAGTCATCATTATAACAAACAATGTTTTGAAATATATATGTAAAGTCAATACAGCTTAACTTAACAATACAAAAATGTGCATAATGTCACTATATTTGTTTGATATAAAGACTGGATTATATTCAATCTATGTAATTATTGTAAAACCATACTATAAAAATCTATAAATAAATTCAAGGCATTATATAATACTATAATACTCATGTTCATACTCATTTTCTTTTATTTTTAAATGATTTACTTAATGAATTGGAATTTTTACTTATCTCAACTAGTTCATAGGGATATTTGAAAACTTTCTTAGCAACATAGATCTATAGAAAACTCGTTAAATCATTGAAAATGTAGCTTTATTTCCAAAGCGCCAAATACTCGTATTTCTGTACGAAACAGGTAACCTTTTCATTTTGCACGCTTGATTCATAAATGACAAGCAGCTATAAAATTTATAAAACATATAAAATTTGAATTAAGCGGTTAGAAATGCAGCGTTTCAAAAGCGACTTAAACATCTTCTATATATGCATCTACTTAAATTACGTCTAAATATAGAATCGCATAGACTTTCTATCATTTTGAGCAGAAAGAAAGCTACAATTGTATAATTTTCATGTATATCATCCACGCATTTATGATTTTAGACCCTGGATATGTTATTTGTACAATAATTTAATAAAAACAGCTTTATATATAATGTAGATCCGGTAACCATAATTACTTTTTTGAAGGCGTTATTTATAATAGACATAAAATTTGCATATTTTGGCATGGGTAAAAAAAGTGTATCCTGTTTGAGTGCATTTATGATGATTTATGATGAGAAAATAAACGTGTGGAATTTAAAAGAAAGATTGTAGGGTGATGGTATGTTATATTAAGCGTCACTTCAGCTTTTCTAGAGGTTAAATATATTTTATTTAGATAAATCGTTTCATAAAATTATCAAATCAAAAGAATTAAGGTGGAAAAAAGGAATTTGCTACCGTTAAAATACAAAAACAATAAGGAAACCCTCGATACCTATTATCTACCGGTTAGCTTTCTAAATTTAAATTAGTAAAGCGGACGATTTGATTTCCAATCTTCTATTTTTAGAAACGATCGTCCTTATGCGTTATACATGTAAATAGATCTCGGAACGCCGTTTTGAAGAAGGCTTAACAGTAATATGGTGCATTTTTCTAAGATAAACTTATTGAAATACTGTCTTTGAAACGACATTGCGACAACATGCCGCAAGACAACGCACCGTTTGGCGTGTTGTCGCTAGCGACATGACGACAAGACTAAAGGCCGACAACGCGCCGTTTGGCACCAACTAGACGGACAAAAGCGTACCAAGTCAGCCACCATTAATGAAGGTCTACGACACATGCTGTTCAATCAGTACATATTTTGAATCAAAGCACTGAATGTACTGATAGGGAGGCTATGACAGAATTTTTCAGACTTATAGTTTCTTTTCTTTTTGCTTAAAATGTGCTGTTATTTCAATTATTACCAAAATAAGAAGATTGCACATTGCGCCATTTATCCTTACTGTTGTGTTCAACCATTCATATATATGGTTAATATAGTTGACTATTCATTTTGTTAATATTCCAGAACATTTCATTGAGGTCTACATTCGGACCGTTAATCATGCAAATTTTGAAAAACCTAAACTGTCAATAATAAATGACATACCAGCAAGTATGACGACTGTTCATTATAAGATAACAATACATTTTACAACTGACGGTTCCTTATCAAAATAATATAGGACTGTTCATCATAAATACTTTATGTCATTTTAATATTATTGAATGATAATAACAACTGCAAGTTATGCAACATTTTTATTGAACATAAAAATTATAAATATTTACATGTACCATAATTGAGATCAATAAGATACTGTCTTGTGATGAGTATTAATATTTATGCTCTACGGACAGAAAGTTGTCTTCTCCCGAAGCAAATTTCGAATAAAATCACGTTTCAGAAAATTATTCCCATTTCATTACTCGTCGCTGACTTTGAGGGCTTCGGATAATATTAAAGCTAAATATTTCTTGAAAAAATACATATTTGCAAAGCTTATTCAAAATTGAATCAACCTAAGTGAAAATTGATAAGGAAGTTATATCTTCTTTTTTTACCGCCAACACTCAACCAACTTATGGTAGTTAATAGATAGATTCTACATGTATTTTTAAACCTCACTAGCTTGAAATATATACTGCGGAAAATCTGTTGTTAACAGGATGTGCGGTTATTACGTACGGTTTTCCCTGTCGACCATTTCCCGCAAATAGATGAGAACATCGAAGCGTCAGTGCTATGAATGGTGTTATAAATAGCGTGTTTTGGAAGTTTTTGTTGAAACTTCTCCAAATCCCTCCAGAGGCGTGCACGTCGCGGAGAAGGCACACGGCAGGTCAAGGTCAAGTCATCTCAAGTACAAGAGGATTGGTTGGGCTGTCGTGATTAACTCTGGTTTGGCGCTAATGAATGCCGTTTTTGTTGTCGTCAGGCAGGAAGTTGATGCCATGACAGTATTGTTGTCTCCTTAACCACCACCGAACGAAGAATGGGCTTCCAGGAAAATTCTGCTTGAAAAAGACGTCCCCGATGCTATAATCTCGGACATATGGTTATTCCGGCGCTGAGTATAAATAAACTTAAAACACACACAATTTTGTTGAAAACAAAACAAAAAACAACAACACATTTTCTGTAGTAATTTTTCAAGTGTTGTAAAATGAAAACGAAATTCCTCTTATGCCGCCGATTATTTTTAGAACACAAACATATAAGTTATTTTGATTTGATTTATTCAAATAAACATCAATCACTTCAGCGTGCGTAAATATCGTTTTCAAATTTAAGTTTCGTAAGATATGTTCCCAGCCAGCATTCTTTATCGGCCCGACATCAAACCGACATGGTTTTCTATGACGGGCCGATGTCGGCTTTAACCTCGGCTGCAAATAGGAATGATGTTGGCCCGACATCGGCAGCACAATATCGGGCCGATATCTTAACGATATAGGCCCGATATTTCTTGCCGACATCGGGCCTACATCAAAACTATAGCGGTGCGATGTCAGCCAACAGTAGAAAAATATTGATCCTATATCGACCAGGTATTATCCTTATGCTAGCATGTTAATGGCATCTAGCAGCAAGCATTTGGCATAATCTGCAAAAACACAAAATAAAAGATAATTATTTTACAAAATAAGATAATAAAGACATATATTTTAACTTAAATGTGCAAATGACAATCTACTTCCATGATAATGCATGTCGCGAAATCATGTGACAAATATTTTCAAACATAATTTAACATCTTAAAAAAAAGACAAACAGATAAATTGTATTTTTCCAATAATTTAAAGTGTAAAAATCGAATTATTAACAGCGTTTACAGATTTGTTGAATCATCATAACATTAAAAAAAAAACATGCTTTTCATCACCTTCCTTTGTTAGCTTTTCTTTTTGGCGCTTAATCTGCCAATTGTAGGACTGCAGTGAATATTTTCAAACTTTTCATTTAAAATATAATAAAAGAGTGTTTTTTATGTAGTCAAAACATAAATATTAAATTTAATTACAAACCACAAATCATTTCCAAACTCAACTATGATTTTTTTAGAAATTCATATCAAAATGTACAATTATTTGCTGCATGATTTTCAATTCAACAGAAAACGCAATATCGTACCGATGTCAATCCGATATACAAAATAGTTGCATTGATAGGTCATGTAGGCCCGACGCAGACCCGATTTACCTTTTTGATGTAACACGAAATGTGGATAATGTGGTTCTAGTAATTGAAATCATACACAGGACAATTTATTCACAGTATTAAGTAAACAATTCCATTGCAATTAGAATTTTTCAAAATACTCAATATGTCGGCACTGCAGCGGCCCGACGTCGGCCAATAGTCGGCATATCTTGCCGACATGCCGACATTAATCCTATATCGGCCCGATATGGTCATGCTGGCTGGGTTGTTTAATTCCCGATGCTCGACTGTAAGTCATTCGTATATACAAATGTATATGCGTTTTTTTTTTTTTTTTTTTTTTTAAAGCTTCTTATTCTTTAATATTTTTTATGTATCTCATAATCTGTATTGAAAATTTGAATTTTATTACGCATGGACTATCAAATTATGATGCGTTGCCCTAGAATTGAATAAACTTTCTAATTACACAATATACGGGATCATTCATTTGTTTGATCAAAGACTGATCTTTGCGTCTTACTCTGAAATAATTATTTCCTCAATAAAACATATTTGACCACATATTTCTGTCATTTAATTGATCACTTTACTTCCAATTTTTACTTACAGTTGTATGATATAGCGGTTTATGAGCGTTTTCCGCGTACAGCCTCCTAGGGTGTACATATAAGTTCCTTAGTTTTCTCGCAAGAATGATCCATGTCTCTGATGTAAGCGACAGTTTACCATTATTTGACTTTAAAAAAATATTAAAGACTATTAATGGTTTATAACAACACAAGAACATGCATGATATTGAGACTACGGTGTTGCAACGTTCTAGTTAATGACCTGTCATAAACAGTTGGTCGCTGCGTAGTAATTGAAAAATTGTTATCAAAATTAATAAAGAATATTTGCCACCTAATTAAAGCATTTACTTATAAATTTTCATTTAGGCTTTTTGTTAAAAAAAATATTGATAAAGATATTATATAGAAGGGTTTTCATACCAGAACTATTTATTACCAACGTACGTAT